TGTTGGTGTGATGATTACGTGGCAGTGTGGTTCGCTGTAATCGAGATGGTTAGGGCTACCCATTCACCTGCCCATTACCCTGCTCAGACCAAGTCTGAGTACGGAATATAGGGACGGCAATTCATTATGGTTGTTGTAGTACTGCGTTCCTGAAAACCATGGTTTTAGAAATTTTTGGTTCACATGGTTGTCAACTTCTTGCATCCCTAAAATTGAAAATATGGCCGGGTTCTGTCCAGTGAGCTACAACTTGAGATCTAGCCTCAGCATATCGGCGAGGCAATATTTGGCAAGGAGCGGCAGACATCTCCGCCACCGTGCACTGTCAACGACTGTAACCTCGACGGTTCACAGCTCGTGTGCACTAAAGATTGACTGGCTAGCTAAGGAATGCTGTTCAATCATGCAGTGGTATATGAGAACGCGGACATGGCATTTCTTTATCATTCCTTATCATTATCTTCTTTAAAATTATCACGGTACGCAATCAGACAGCAATTTGTTAAGCCGAAAGACCCGCTACTATTAACAGAGAAGTCAGCATGCAGGCATCGCTGGGTGGAATACGTTGGTGTAACAAGCAAACACCTACGCACAAAATTTAACGAATACAAACCTGCAATCGACAAAAACGACATATTGATGTTGGTCTACGATCACCTACAATGGCTAAACTACGGTTTTGCTTTTTAACAACCGACGGCGATCGTCGAGTTTATGAGAAGATAGCCCGAAAGCTGGTTCTCGACTAGCATATTTCACTGAGCTATAGATAAAAATTTCGTTTATCAAGCACTTCGAACAAGGTTCAGATCAGTTTGGAAAGAGCCACTAGGGCAAAGAAGAACGCCGAACCGAGAGCCGACGCTCACATAAAAGCAGGGATGACGATCGGCGGTCAAATAAACAACACTGAATACTGTCTCGCCCATACACCCAGGAAGCCGAAATCAAATCCTGTGAACAGCAACGACTGATCAGTCTGCCGCTTGACGTTGGGTAGGCTAGCAGGCATCGTGACTTGACATCAACTACACTGACCTCAAAGTCGACAAAAGCCACGCGAGTTGGTCAGCGGTCAAGTTCAGGTAGGTTTAAGTTCGTGCGTCCAGCGCGGCTTAAATACGAGAAGACCAGGAGCAGCAACCATGATATTCTGATGCTGGAAGCAAACCTATTTCCACGAACACGCCCTCTTATCTTCTATGTATCCTTGTGGATATCGATATGTAACTATATTTTAGCCCGTTAATATAGTGGTAAATGAGTGCGATAGCGTTTTCGAGAAAGGCTTAATAGACGCAATCTGAAAATGTTTACGAATATCTGCAACTTCATTTATCAGCGTAAGTGAGCTCAACAAATAACATTCATAAACTGTTAAAATGCAGGCAGTGGTTTCCATATATTGCATAATTGAGCGTTTTCATGGTGCCAGAATATGTTGCAATTCAAGCTGACTTGCTGAACTGCAAAGAGTTCGACTCACTACTGTTCCACTGAAGTAAACCGTGTGCCTTAACTGTCATCTGCTTTGCGTAAAGCATAACTATAAAACTCGAGTTGTTATTTCCCTATATGGGCAAAATTACATGAACATGTATGCTCACGTTTGAGTTTTGAGCATTTCTTTAAACTAGCAAACCTTTCAATCAGCCTTTTAGCAAATTTGAAAGTTACTTGCAGTGCCTGTTAAATCGAATGAAAATTACAATGTTCGCAGCAATTTCGCTTAAGATGAACCCCACGTTCCAGTTATCCCTGGTTATACTCTTGTTTCGGGGCGAATTATTTTTCTAAAATGACTGCCAAATAATAAATACCATTTTCGGAAACCTACCCGTATGTCCAAGTTACCGTCTGAAAAAATGTTTCTTATTAATAAACCAGCAAGTATTCGAATTGGTGCATCCGTTTGCGGAAAATTAGAAATCGTCGCATGTCAGAATCTGTTTCCTTAACATATGCAACCGCGAAATGGTTAATGCGCAGTCGACAAATAATGAAGTTGCACGATTAAATAACTAAAAAACTATTGAATAACAAACAACTCAGAGGAAATGAATTAAGAACTGTTAATGTATTCTGACAGATGTGCGGATGCAGTTGCGAGAGGGGCGAGATCAAAGCGGAAAACAGATTTTTTTAATGTGCAAATATGGTGACAGTCACTGTCAAAAGTAAGATTTTATTATTTTTGTTTTGACAAAGAAATGAGAGGGTTTGTTTTAAACATCAAACAATTAGTCAACTCAGCAAACTTAAGTTTTCCGCGATTTATTCCCGGGCCTATACAATTGTTTTAATGAGGACAACTAAAGACGCTAAAAACAAACCCTTTTTCCCGCGATTAACCCTCGTGTATGCTTTGTGAACTCTCACCTTCTACGTTTGGGAGTCAAAAATCGACTCCCGTTGAAGATTACACCGATGTGTATTTACTCTCTCACATGCTCCTGTGCAGCGGGATACAATGAGCAAACAACGAGGCACCTGCACGAATATATACCAGCCTGGCTGATTAGAGGTAAGACTGGACCGACTTCGAGTTTTTTTCGCGAACCCAGTAGCTATGAATCACCGCGTCGATCCAAAATAAACCTTTCAGATTGTCTATCGGACACTCGCCAAGTTATATAGGAGTCTGCACCAACGGGCGTTAGTAACAGCCGCAAAAGTTGCTACGTGGCTAGTGAATTTAATGCTGTGCTGCCTGAAGACGCTCATAGAGGTGCTTCTCTTCAGCTGCTGATCTATTGCGTCCCCACGTCCTGATGACTGTCGTTTACTTTGCCTACTCAACCCATGAACACTGCTCACATTCTACACTAATTCGCCCTTCCCCAGTCCCAACAAGCTAAACATACCGACCTCGCCATGCGGGCGGTGTGAGAATGATGGGTATTAATTATAAGATATTTAAACCTTCATTTTTTAGGTTGAAGTACGGAAAAATGTGGTTTGCCGAATCGGCTCCTTGAGTTTCACATGGAAATATTTAATTCAATAAATTAAAAGTCATGGGCTTTTGACTGTGGATCTTCTCTTCTTCAGTAGTCCTTATGGATGTTCATGCCCGTTCGAAACAACGATGCCTTTGGGCCTGCCAGTGGGCTTCCGGTCTCCAGTGCGTCATGGTTCAAACGCGTCGGACATGAAGGAGAACGCAACTATCGACACAATTCCGAATTGGGCATTCTGCAGAGCCATTTTGGGTAAAACGATGTTTACTTTTCTAATAGCACATCTAAGTTACTTAAAGTGTGAACAAAAAGTAAGCATATTTAAACGTCTGCGGAACATATTTACATCTCGTGGCGTGTAGAGACAACTAATTCTTTTTTTGAAAATAGGCATCCCAAGAAATATAATTTGGCAGAA